TTTTGGGCTTAGGGTTTAGGGTTATGCTCCCTTGCAACAGGTCAGCAGGCGCAAGATGCTGGCGCGAAGCCCTTGCACCAGGACTCCTCCTAAACCCCAAATCTCAATCTCTGCCTCTGAAGCGTGATGTCTTTCGGCGTCAGGAACCCTAAACCCTAAACCCCAAACCATAAGTTTCAACATGGCCGCTGAAAGCCAAAAAGCATGCAGCTTGAAACGTAAGCCCCTGTGGTGGGGTTTCGGTGTAGGGTCCTTTGGGTCTGGGGTTTTGGGTCTAGGGTTTTAGGTTACCCTAAACCCTAAACCCTAAACCCTCTTGAACTCCAAAAGCTCACCCCTTTATAGGTGCCGTCCGACGTCATTGTAGATGCCTCCATGGCTGCAGCAGTCCGCGATGCTGGGCGCATGTGGACCAAGGCTGCCTTTTGGGAGTGGGAGAAGGGAGGAGAGAGCAGGGACTCTCGGGCCGGCAGTGAGGGGTTTAGGGTTTAAGGTTTAGGGTTTAGGGTTTAGGGTTTAGGGTTTAGGGCGTACAGGGTTTTGGGTTTGGGGTGTATAGGGTCCAGGGGCTGTGTAGGGTGTAGGGTTTAGGGTCCAGGGTCTCGGGTTTCAGCGGAAGAGCCACACACATCACCCATAGTCTCCATTGTAGTTCCTTTTTGGGGATACCTTATAAAACCATTAATATATATTTGGTTGAACCAAAAAAAAGGAATCAGAATGGAGACTATAGGCATGATTTGGGGTTCCAGAAGAGGGCGCACGTAACAGAACAAAGTTCCAAGGAGCTGCATGTGCTAGTATTGTCAACACTGTTTAACGTATTGTAAACATCCCATGACGGTACAGCCCTACTGGGACAAGGCTTTCTGATTGGGAATTAAAGCCTAAGCCCCCTTAGCCTTAGCTATGAGCCCATGATCTGAACCGGAAGCCCTGAACCTGACAATCCTATAAGCCCTACATAACCTACCTTTCTAGAGTTCCTTATGTAAGTAAGTCCTAAACCCTAAACCCTAAACCCTAAGCCCTAAACCCTAAACCTTTACAAGGGCAGGGTCCGGGTAAAGCATAGAAGCCCTGAGTCCTTAAGCCTATGACCCTAAGTCGTGGCGGCTTTGAGTTTTGGGGCTCATGGGTCAGAAAGTTGTTGTGATGTACTGACCTTGGCGTTTTTTTTCTGGTTGGCTCTTAGGACTCAGGGCTTTAACTTATTGGGTTTCTAGATAAAACTATAACTAGAAGGCTAAAGTGTTAACTTTGGGGAGGGGTTCAGAAGTCAGCCAAGTGGCTATGATAATGATAGTAATATACGAGCACGGCAATGACAATGCCTACTTTGGGCTCCAATGCCTATACGTTGTTTAGACTGTAGACCTAATTAACCTACTTCGGGCTGTTCGGCGTGTGACACGGAGAAAATTGTCAATAAATCCTTGCGCGTGGTGCCCTCCAGACACTCCGGCAACGCTAACCCCTAAACCCTAAGCATGACTTCTGGGAGGAAGATACCCTGTGCGACGCGAAGTTCGTGATTCCAGATCGGTGCTACTCAGGCATCTACACCGCTGCAGCTCGGCTCGAGAGGTTTAGGGTTGAGGGTTTGGGGTTTACGGTTTAGGGCTCACACCTCGAAGAGAGTCGGTCATCTTAGTGCCAGTCAGCACTACCCTGCAAGAACCCCTGTCGCCCGAAACACTGCCAAAGTTGTGGTGTAAAGTCAGAACCCTCAACCTTAAACCGCATTTGTACAGCACGAGAGCAGCAAATCCATGCCATCTAAGTCCTAAACCCTTAAATCCCTAAACCCCTAAACCCTAAACCCCTAAACCCTAAACGCTGTAAGGTGATCGAGGATTGCAAGAAGAATGGCAAGCTGGATCCTTCCAAGATAGGCGCCACGTCCAACGTCGGGCTCATGGCCGCCAAAGCGCTCTGGCATCCTACAGAGCCAAGGTTTTGGGGTTTTGGGTTTTCGGGT